ACGGGAGAATGGGAACGGGAGTGGGAGGGGAGGAAGTTTACTGAATGTTCCCAGATCCCAACTTTACCTATTCTATGATCTACAAGTAGAAAGACACACAGCCAACGGCAATTCATTTAGTTTGTACACAGAGTTAAATAAAATTTTTAAAATCCTAACTTAATGTGTTTTATTAAGGCGCTCGACTTTTGGACCATTGTTTTCCTATTCTCAAATCTCTAAAGGAGCTTTTCTCCCTTTTTATTCCCAATAAACCGATCCTGTTCAACTTTTTACCCGACATAATCACGCTAACTTATTTTTTTCTGTTTACCATACCACAACTCTGCGCCATGCGAACAAGAAAGAAGGCAAGGAGACACTCTATTTTTCTTTAAGTGAAGCACATATCGTAGGCAGCTACCAATCACATTAAAACATCATTGTACAAGGTGTTTGGCCTTAAAAGTACAAAAATAGGTAGCTGGGTTGCATTACATACATTTATTTGCTTTTTTTAACATATCTTTCGGATTTTTTTCGTTAATTGCCTGGCTATAAAAGTGAAAAAGAAAAACTGTTCTTTTTTTCGGCGTTCTAATTGGATTCCGAAAGCTACTCGAATTCTATATCACATCTAAAATGGCGTTTTCAATATATTTGATACAGAAAATTTCTCTTCCCATTCCTAGGAACACATGCACATGTGTCTAGCTCCTGATTTTCGTCATCGTTACATTTTGTTTTACAGTTACAGCGGCAGTTTCCGACGTCACGCTCGTGAACGGTAGCATTACATTGCACGTGACATTGACATTTGCACTTCACGTGCTCTATCACGGGAAGGGTTCGTTTTCCCGAGCCAGAGGTTTTCATGATGACATCAATTGTACGGTTTTTGGTCGATGTGCATTTCTCCCAGGCCAGAGCGTGGTTACAAGCCCCTTGGCAGCGGTTGACCCATACAAACTGGGGAATGTTTAGCGCGTTTCCTTCTCCATCTTCAACCGGTACAATTTTTGGGTGAGGCCCGCAACGAACCTCGGATAGGTTCTCCTCATCTAAAAAGTATGGAATCAAAGAAAATATTCAACATTTATCCAGAAGACTAAACGAAATGATCACTTAGATATCTGCATTTCTAAGGGAGAAAATTAACGATAATAGTGGCTATGCAATAGGGAAACACTTCTGTACCTCAACGAATTACCGCCGACGACGGATTTCTACGCATATATTTAACATTTGCGCGTGCGCTAGGTTTTGGCGCACAAAACGGATTTTGAGTCGTTTGCATGGTTGACTTTCTATTGTATTGCTTCTAAGCGTTGTTTTCCTTGCCGCTATTCTTTCACAGAATAATCTCAAAAAACTTTGTGTACGCTCTACATATATTCCAAAATGAACTTTCTTCCTTATAAATTTGGAAATGGGGAAATGCCTTCGACGAAAACAATATGCTTCGGATTCAGATGCCAGCTCCTCATTATTTTCCGCGAATTTCGCTAAATTTTGAACCTCGCCCGCTTGAGCCCGCGTTGTTGACCGGTACCTTTGACGTAGCATTTCGTTCTTCTGCTCTGTCTACCAGGCCGGTGTATTATTTAAAGATAAAAAACATACTGAATGGGCACCTGTACCTCTCTTAGTTTGTCTAAATGGCTTGTACCAAAACCTCTCCCTTTTTGCCATAACGTTAGGTTGCAATATATCGATTTCCACATCCTAAAGGCAGAAAAAGTGAGAAAAGAGATTTAAATATAAATCAAAAGCGTTTATTTACCGTATCTTAAATTTGCTCCGCACCTCAGGCTTATTAAAATCAGCCAAAATAAATGCTGTTAAACCTTTTATCTCTCTCTGTTCTCAGGAAAAATAAATTCTCACCACCAGGCTCTTCTCAACTGTTGAATTCCAAAATGGCGACCATCACTTACTGTCTTAAGTTTCCACTAAAATTGTCGCACGGTTGGAAATGAACGAAATTTTTAAAATTTTTTTTTTTCGATGAATTTTTCATCACATGAGTCGGCACGCCAGGTGCTCCCATTTAGGGAGTTTATCCCAATTCTGTGGCAAGTTATTTGCGCTAAGAAAATTTTTTTAGTCCTACACTGCGCCGAAAAAAAAAGAATAACAACGTTCTCACACAATAAAACGATCAACGTGTGCGGAAACATCACGCAGAAGAAGAGTGCAATTTATTCTGCCGAAATAAATTGCAAACAGCAGTAACATCATCACCCTAAAAGATTTTTTGTCACATTAAAACGCTAAGCCACTGTTTTTAAATTTTAAACTCTAAATAGAGCCCGGATCGAAATGTTTTGTTTTCTGTAGATAATTTATCCGATTTCATGCAGCGAGAAGACTTAACTCAAGGAATCAAAGTTAGTTCTTTATATCTACCCGTAGGAAGCTTAGATTGTTACAGCTTCTCTTTATACTTTTGAGCTAAAACAGACATAAACCGGCACACATCAGAGAAAATACATTTAAACATCATACTCGTTTATAGCGAAGCGGGCTAAGGACCAATGATTATTTACTGCCTGAAATGGGGGAGGGGGGAGTTAGGGGGACACGACCAAGATCCTACGAAACCCTTCCCCCCTTCCCTTCCGCGATGAATAATAAAACAAAGGAAGTTGATTTGAATTGTTGACGTTGTCTAAAACACGCCATTAAGCTAACTTTTTAATCGATCAAACGCAGCTTGCTCCGAGTTTGATAGCTTTAAGCGTTGCTCGGAAACCTTTCAACTTACGAGGGATGTCCAGTTGTTCACAACCAGAGCGTTTTTTTTTTTTTTAAACCGGGGTCACGGTGAAATTATCTTTAACTCTCTATCAGACGAATTACCCCCTACTTTAAGCTAAATTTTTAATGATCGGAAATTTAAACCGGAGGTACGTGGACTTAGAAAATTAATTTGACATTTGAGGCAGCTAATAGAGACAAATATTTACAATACTTCTGTCTCTTGATCAATTTCCGAAGTTTTATCTTTGCCTTAGATAAGCAATAAATTAACTTTAACACCAACAAAAGACTGAAGAAGCCGACAAAAAAAGCAAGGAAGCCATTCAAAAGGGTAAGAATTCTTTGTTCATTTCACGACAAAATCTAACAAAAGAAATTTCAAAAATTGGATTTTCATGGCTGCTATAAAACTGTTTCTCCAGAGCTTCTTAGATCAAATTGAAAGGCGAAAGGTAACAAAGAAATATGGATTATCATAAATTAGGTACACAATACTCAGCATTTAACAAATGTGCGCAACAGGTTTCCTGATAAAAACGTTTAAGTTGGAAGAGTGGGCAAGTTTTCTCTTTCAAACTCACTCGCGAAAAAGATAAATTTTTTCTTTAGTTCAATTTTCTTTTCTTTTCTAGGTTGAATTTTTTTCTCAAACGAATACACGACGTAAACTGATTCACGAAATGACAAAGCTTAAAAGTTGTGGCTACAAACCAATCTCTGGTCCTAAAAATGGAACAAAAAACTAACTTACACGAGATTATTCAGTTTTTTTAAGAGAATCCTAACTAACCCTTTACTAACCTCAGGAGAGCTTCTTTTTCCGAAGGTTTTTGACGCAAAAATTAGCGCAAAACAAAGGGCCCAATTGAGAAACGTCTGAAAAATCATAGTTCTGAACGTCAACGTGGTATTAGACCGAATGACCGAATGACCGAATTGAACGGATGTTCGGTCTTTATAATGTAAACACTTATAAACAATCTGCTTGCATCACATGCTTGCATATGGGCGTGCACAACACAAATGGTCCCTTTCACGACAGGAACTCATTGTTTAAAAGCAGGAACAAAAAATTAAATTATGTCAATTTTTGTTCGACATCCACAATGCCTATCTATTGTTAAAGCTTGCAGTTATTCAAACACTTAAAAACTGAGGGACCTTTCTTACTGGTCGAAATAAATCATTAACTCTTTTTCTTTGATTCATCGTTTACTGAGGTTTGCACATTGGATTTTAGTTCTTTAGTCTCCCAAGATGAAGATGCTTAATGCATTCTTATGTTAATTGCTTCCTGAATAAATATGGTCTATTTTCTACTGTTAACTTCCTTTCAGTTTTTATTAAAAATTGATTTTACGTTCGTTTTACGCATAAGTCGGTGTTTTGGGAAATTTTTAGGAACATCACCTTAAAACAAAGATTTTTAAATTTAAAAATAATATAGCAGTAGTTCAGAGAGGTAACGCCAATTCTAACGCCGAAATCCTCTCGATAAAAGATGTGCGCATTTTTAATGAGAAAATCGTGAAAGCAATTTTAGACGATCTGGGCTTGCGCCTGTTCTGCATGGATCAAAATTAATTTCTTTTTAGCCAATTTCAAGAAGAATCGTAGTTTTCTCCCTCCTGCGTAATTTAGTTGTGTAGAAATTTAAATAAGATTTTAGTCGTATTAAGAGCTGCAAGCAGGCATGCTTGCCTCAGACGCACGGCACGCTTAGATAATTGATTTGCGCCGACATGCTTGCGATATCTAACGACATAATTAAACTCTTGCAGTGAATTGGTCTTAGGTCTAAAAATCATCTTTATTTAAAAATTAAAATAGATTATGACATATATATATATATATATATATATGCGTACTTTTTTAAGCATATGTTCGATATGCTTTCCATTTAAGCTGAATCTTTAAACGACAAAAGAAAGTTTTAATCCAGTTTTTATAAAATTGAACAACTTACTTTCCTAAACGAATTCGTATATGAAACATCCTTTCGGATATACTTGTAAGCTACTGTTTATTTCCTTCAATTATGAAACTAGCTGTTCTCAGCCCGACAAGAATTCGTTTATCAAAGTAAATAAAAATAATTTCCATTCAAAATCCGTTTTACTTTTACAACTGTCTTTCGCGGTAAATTTATCGGCATTTTACAGAAGTTTACAAGGTTTCAGAGAAAGGCTACAGAGAAATGTGCGTGATGAGCAGCTTGCGTAATCTATGCAAATGATCAAAATATCTTTCAAGTTCAAAGGTTTGTGTAATTTATCTGAAGGGGGTGGAAGAGCGACGTCCTCAAAATACCAAATTAAAAAGGAGTATACTGATAAGATTAGACGCTTGGTCGCTGTAGTTTACCACAAAGTACTCGTAACGTGGTAGAAAATACCGGAAAGTCACAACAAAAGTATAATGAACAAGCGTGGTTAATTTAAATAAGATTAAGTAACATGAAGAACAATTGAGCGTCGGATGAGAAAAGTTGGCTTATTTTTTCAGCTGCCCAGAGCGAAACTACTTCCCGAATTAACTAATCTATTATGCTGCCTGTAAATTATTGTTCGTCCCCGTATCAAGCTCTAAAATGGTTTCATTCTCTTTCATGGCCACAGAGGGTTTCCTCTTCGACTATCATTGACATATCTCCAAGTTAACACGACAGCAGTGAGTTTTTTTTTCTTTTAGTGCTTGGAGGAAATAAACGTTCAGTGAAAGATTAGCTGTTTCTTCCTGATAAAGCGGAGGTATTTGTTTAGTCCGGCGGACCGCAAATCAGTTGTCCTAACATTCATCATATACAGTGTTTCTAAAAAAGAATGTAAAAAGAAATTCTGTCTTTGATCAATGTTTTTTAAATGGTAATCGGAGAGCAGACGTTGTAATAAGCTTAAGGTGCCTTAGGGCGAAAACATTAAGCCACTCAACATTTCATTGCAAGCTGTGCCACCGAGAAGTTTTAAACGTAATAACTGAAATCATGATCAAAATGGACGATGCATAACAAAAAAGCGGAAGGAGTAGAAAAAAGGGGGTAGGCTTTACCTCCAAGCAGTACGTAACGTAACAAATGAAACAATGATAAAATCATCAAATCAAAAATAGAGAGGAGAAAAATTAAAAAAAAAAAAAAGAGGCAGCTGGCACTAGGAGCACAAATCAATATAACCCTTTCACTCTCTGATCGAATTAGTAATACTCCTTACTGTTTGCCATACATTATTATGAAGTAAGTTCGGATAATTTGGTATTGAATCAACTAATAATCCCCTAGGTATCACTTGTCCGCTTGATATTTTATTCCGCATATTGCAAGGAGAAAATAATTCTGTATTGTCACTCCTGAGAGTTAAAACGTCCTGTATGCCGTTGTTTCAAACTCCTTTGATTCGTGCCACTTTGCATGTGAAAACTCTTCATCACCGAAACTTCTGGTCAAACCTCGGCCGCAAAAACAATTTCCTTCTGACAGCTGTCCGTGGTATCAATTTATCATTGCTGTGAGGAAGTAAACCTATTCCAGTTTCGCAAACTCCTGTATTTTGCAAAAAATTAACGTTTTAAGAAATATCTTAGGAATTTTATTTCAATTTATGCTGAAAGTTATCATTACGTTTCTAATGTGTAAACCTGAATTTAACCATTTGAAAAAGAAAGATTCTCTCTTACCACGCCAGGAGCCCATTACCTGTAATGGGCTCCTGCTCTTACTTATTATAGATTAAGAATGTTCCCTGCAAATGTAAAAAAGGAAGCTAAGAGTGTAATTTTCTGGCTGCATGCTGCATGTGGCGTGGGTTTTTCAATTTTAATCTCAGTTTGGTAGTTTCTAAGGGACGATACTTTGTCAAGAGAATTTGACACAGGAAAACTCCGTTATAAATTTAAAATCAATTTAAAAGAGGAAAAAAAAATTCTGGTTAGAGTTACTTTACATCACTTTAGAACTCGTGTCAAAATCTAAAATTTCCCTGAATATCAACGCTTCACTAGCTGATGGAAGAGGGAATGACACCAAAGGAAACTCGTACTAGCTCTCTCTCGTAAGAGAAATCAACAAGACTTCTTTAGGGAAAAAAGGCGGATAGTTTCTAAAGAAACTGTTCGGGGCTGCGTCGGTGGGGGTAACGAAATAATTTGGATATATCAACAAAGTTGAAATGGTAAATTGGCCACCATAACGAGATATATCAGCAAAGTTGAAATGGTTACGGTGGCCAATTTACCATTTCAACTTTGTAGATATATCCAAATTATTACGTCCATAACAATAATTACCAACATAGGTTAGGAAAATAGCTTGAAACACTAGTTAAAAGAATTGCTCACAAATATATGGGAAAAATTTAAAGATACTCTAAAGTCTAACAGAACAAAACATTCGAATCCCGTACAGGCCTGATTTTTTTTTTCAGGTCTGATTTTCGCTATTGCATAAATAGCGCTTTCTACTGCGAGGATCATGCATCATACGTACCTATAACCGTCTGATTTTCACTATTGCTCAAATAGTGCTTTACTGCGAAGAATCGTTCTCATATACGTCTCATAACCGCAGTTCACACATATGTTTCATATGTTTGTTGTTGTTTGATTTATCATCTACGGGTTTATATCGAATTAATTTGATGGCCTGCTCCCAGTTGGCTTGTTAGCTCAATTGGTAGAGCGCTGCACTAGTATCGCAGAGGTCAGTGGTTCGAATCCCGTACAGGCCTGAAATTTTTTTCAGGTCTGATTTTCACTATTGCTCAAATAGTGCTTTACTGCGAAGAATCGTTCTCATATACGTCTCATAACCGCAGTTCACACATATGTTTCATATGTTTGTTGTTGTTTGATTTATCATCTACGGGTTTATATCGAATTAATTTGATGGCCTGCTCCCAGTTGGCTTGTTAGCTCAATTGGTAGAGCGCTGCACTAGTATCGCAGAGGTCAGTGGTTCGAATCCCGTACAGGCCTGAAATTTTTTTCAGGTCTGATTTTCACTATTGCTCAAATAGTGCTTTACTGCGAAGGATCGTTCTCATATACGTCTCATAACCGCAGTTCACACATATGTTTCATATGTTTGTTGTTGTTTGATTTATCATCTACGGGTTTATATCGAATTAATTTGATGGCCTGCTCCCAGTTGGCTTGTTAGCTCAATTGGTAGAGCGCTGCACTAGTATCGCAGAGGTCAGTGGTTCGAATCCCGTACAGGCCTGAAATTTTTTTCAGGTCTGATTTTCACTATTGCTCAAATAGTGCTTTACTGCTAAGAATCGTTCTCATATACGTCTACGTGCGATATTTAGCGGTCAGACAGTTTTTAATCAGTTTGCTCACTTGTTTGCCCTCAGATTCATAGTTTTAATAGTGATCGTCAAATATACGTACGTGTCTGTATTTCCCATTATTTATTGTATTTCCCTAGTATTAAACCACTTTTTACTTAGTACAAGAAAAAGATGTATTTTTGAGTTTACATGCTCTTTAAATAAACGCTTTCTTGTAAGCTCCAGCTAACGCTTTCATAGTTAATAATGAACCGGTATATGGAGTGCGTCACATACGTCACTCGTTATCTTCAATCGTTGAATCATGACATAACGAGCGTAGTTATGGGTCTAGTTTTCGGGGGGCGACGACACTAGAATCAGGGGCATCGTAACTTGTGGGAAAATCTCAAGATAAATCTTAAAAAAATTGGATTTTTTATACGCTTGTTTTTCAAAATAGAATACGACTTTCGTTAGGAGTGAAGATGACAGTTTTATTTTCCTTCGATAGGCCGTCGACCAACCCAAATATTAGTAAATAACGGTAATTAACTTTACTTTTACTAACTATCTTCGTCTTGTGATGTTTTCCTAACGCAATTCGATCGAAGAGTCAAGTCCCTATTGAGCGACTGCTCCTTAAAGAGCATCTTACATAACGCATTGCATACATATTGTTACGAAACTGATGAGACAATAAGAAGTACTTGATATATTCCACTAACTAATATTTCCTATATAACCCTTCACCAAAACATTCCATTTTTTATTCAAACTAACTTCACTTGGAGATCTTCATTTGGTAACGACTAAGTTCGGCACGCAGGCACAGTTCAGCAATGATTCGCTTGAAAGGCATTTTGGCCGCAGTGTCGGACACTCACACACATTCGCATGTGTTATTGTTCCACCCTGTGTTGCATCGGTCTTTGACTTTCTGCTTGCAGTCACAGTCGCAAATGCCAGCATTCCATTCATGGTTTGGAGACTTGTCGCAAAATTTGGGTGCTGATTTGCACTCACATTTGCAGATGTTCTCATTCCAGACTGACTCATTTTTGCACGAGCTGCTTTTGTCCTGTTTGCATTTGCACCTGCACTGGTCCTGGGCGAAGTTGTGGATTTTGTCGTCACACTCCGACTGGCGCGTAATGCAGTCACAGGCGCACTCTGTATGATTGTAAACGGTGATATTCAAAGGTTCTAAATCCTTATTATGGTCTAACATACGATTGACCTGTAAGATGATCTCTTCCTGGCGTTTAACTGTGCAGTTTTGGACCTTTTGAGTCGCTGAAAAAGACACGTACATGTATTAAACCTCTTCTTAAACAGTCGAAAGGCAGGATGACATTGACAATGACAAAGACAGTCTCAGGGATAATAAAAATGCTAATTACTGTAAAAAATAATGGGCATGCACAGATTTTAAACGCTTCAATACTATTTAATTCGATAACGTACGTCCCATTACATCAAATACATTAATAAAACAAAACATCAAAAACCTGCGTTTCCGAAAAACCACGAGGTTTCTTGTCAAAAACTCAACACGCACCAAGTGATAATAACAAGCATTACATTTCGTGACATACTCTACTGCAAGCGTGACAATTTGAGACATTTTACATTGATAACTGACGATAACTTGTGGATGACGAGGAAAAGTAAACGACTTTGGCAATATAATGATAATAAAATGACCACAACGACGATAACAAAAACGACATTAACAGTGACATTGAGGACAAGAACATGGACACGGACACTAACGCGGACACGGACGCGGACGCGGACGTAGACACGGACACGGACACGGACGCGGATGCGGATGCGGACTCGGGCGCAGACGCAGACGTAGACACGGACACGGACGCAGACACGGACAATTAATGAATAAACTTACTTACACATCCACCGAGGCACCGGTGGAGTATGAACGTTTGCAGAATGTAACCTTCGTTTGCCGCCGGCCCTGTCAACTCAACCATAGTAGGAAAGGGCTGACATTCAAAAAAATGGAGATCTTGAATGGATAGCTTGGTTGCGTTCCCTGGAGAGGACAGAAGAAAAATTTAGCAACGTAGTTGAGACTTACCATCATGCGGAATCCCTTCAACAAGAGTTTATCCCCTTAACTTTCATCATGTGAGTTGAGGCTCGAAGCCCAGGAATTCTCCAGGAAGTCTCGGAGAGTTTGAGAAAAACATAAAGGTGACGGCAGAGGGAACGCAGCAAAATGATGTATTTATTAGAAATAAGAACACGAAATCGCTAAAATGCGAGGCCTGAAAGCCGAAGCCCCGACGGAAGATTGCTCTCGCCCCTACCCCCCAACGCTGGATTTACATGCATATTTTCTGGAAACGGGGAGATCTGAAGCTGATAGTGAAGGAAGACAAATTGCGCTATTCGGGAACTATGACACAGGAGAGCAAAAACGAAGTGTACCAGTTAAAGTCGCCTTCCCCCCTCCCCCAGTGTTGTTAGCGTTTCGCCTTCCCCCCTCCCCCAGTGTTGCTTGCGTGACATCTGAATCTTAAACAATATCTATATAAACAAATTAGATCAAGAGCAATTAATTGGCGTGGATATGCCACTGCTGCGAATACATGATGTTTAGATTCAGAGCAATTTTTAATTGAGTCACGAAAATAATTTAGAATTACATTGGTTTTTTTCTACTTCGCTCTGTGATTGATTAAAAAAACCAGCACTACTTTCTTGGACCAATAAGTTGCAAAAACTCGTCTTAATCATGCACTCACATTTCTTTCCGCATCGTATATAGCGTGCTTGTTTTTACTTCGAGTTAACAATATCCCATTGTGTCGTTTTTATTTTCCGTGATTGGCTGATTGTGGCATTGTTTTTTTGCAGCGGCAGCGCTCCCCCCTTTATTTTGGGTAAAAAATTAACGCAGAAGGAAGAAAATCCGTATACACACACACAAAAAAAGCGTTCTCCCCCCC